TATCATATCATATCATTTCATATCAAATCATTTCATTTCATATCATATCATATCATATCACATCATATCATATCATACCATATCATATCATATCATATCATATCATATCATATCATATCATATCACATCATCATCATCATCATCATCGTCATCATCATCATCATCACATCATACCATCAGATCATCATCATATCATGATCATCATCATCATCATCGTCACTGACGTCATCTATCATCATCACTAGCACCACTACCACTGGTACCACCGCCACTACTGCCACCACCACCGCCACCACTGCCGCCAGCACCATCATCACTGCCCCATAACCACTCAGCCAACCCGATCATCACCACTACTACTACCACCGCCACCATCAGCACCACCGTTGTACCATCAGTAGCATCGAAATCATCACCGTCGTCTTCAATCTTGAATGCCCTCACCATCAGAAGTATCTTATGCAGCACCATCATTCAGCTTTCCGTGCTTGCAGAGGCATCCCCTGGAGTATAGTGCTTGACTTATGGATGAGTTGTGCCGGCTTTTCAGACATTCGGGTGCGTTCCCAGTTATCCCTGGGCAATTTGAAGATCAAGAAGTGAAGGTATGTACCAGCCTCGATTTGTAGCTTTCCAGTGTTTCGCTGTTTTCTGAGGCGAGCTATGCTGATAAAAGCGCGAACGATCTGGCCGAGATGCTGCTGGAGGCACAATCTTCCTCCTCTTCATGGGCTTCAGGAACCTAGTGCTCAGTGCTCTGAGGGCTTTAGGGTTCACCCCAAGCCTGACGCCATCGACGGCTGACGCAGGCGGGTGCAGACCCTTTTGCTTGCAACGGGAGCGGCCAGCTGCCCGACATCCCGAACCTGCAGGACGCAGGGATCGAATGCAAGGGCGTTCCGTTGGCACCATGAGTTTCAATCCTCGAAACCCACAAAGCCTAAATCTTGCTGTCCTGAACCCTCATTCTAAGCCAATGTACCGTGCAGAGTCAATCAGTATCCTTGGCATCTTCGCACGCATAAGCACTATCATCATGATCATTGATGTCAGAATAGTGATCAGCATTCACTGTCCTTGTCATTGGGATATGCACCTCACCGTCTCCACGATGACCGTCATAGACCCAACACCGAAGCCGACAACTCCGACGGCCTGAAGCGCCGAAACCCTACAGCCTACAGGCCTAAAGCCCGTGAGCAGTTTCGAACAGCCCAAGGACATGGCGCTAGCACAGGCTGCTGCCCATCGCCAGCAGGCAACTCCGTGCTGAGCTGGTTGCAGCGTCGGGTTTTCAGATTGTTTCCTTTTGTGATTTTGGGCTCTTCGGCCAGGACGGGTGATCTCGGGGTGGGAGTTTACCGGCTCCGCTCGGTGATCTGCGCATCGCTTGTGCTGCGATCATGACATTTCTCTCAGTTGCATTTTTGCAGCACCCTCAGCCGAGAGTGTTCGGAAAGGCGTTGTCCTGCTCCCGAATCGCGATCAATTCAAACCGCACCTCTCTCGATCAGCTGCCATGGCTGTCTTGAAGGTCACTTACCAGTCCGAGACACGTCGATGCCTCCTTGCGAGCGTTCGGCCCAGCTTTGAAGAGATCACGGAGAGCATCGCGAAGCTCTTCCCCGAAGCCAAAGAATGCACTGCCCGGCACCTTGGAAATCGATAGGATAAAGATAGTCTCGTCTCTTGGAAGCTTCATATTGGAAGCGAGAAGAGGGCATGTCCCAAAAGACGGCCCAGGTACCTCGACGAGGATGGGGACGCGTGCACGCTTTGCGAGGCTTCGCTGTCAGACTTCCTGGCTCAGGCAGCCAACGGCGTGAACTTGGCCAACAGCACCGGCAAGATGGTGCTCCGCCTGGAGCTCGTGAGCCTTCCCCAAGCACCCACGCTTCCGGAGGTGCCAGTCAGGGAGGCGCCTGAGGGAAGCAGTGCACCCAAGGATGTCCCTCTTGAGGGCAGTGAGACGTTCCCGGCAAGCGACTCGCCTTCCGATGTCGTGCAGCCCGAGCACAGCAAGGATCCGAAGGAGATGCCAGACTGGAACGTCGTTGACATCCCAGAGGCGAACGAGGATGACGGCATGCCAGCACAGACCAGCAACAGCAAGGCCACCGTAAAAGTTCTGGACTCCATGTCACCCCAGGTTGCGCAAGAAGCCTTCGAAGGGAGCAAGAATGACAGCGCGCCCAAGGCCATGTGCGAGTCAAGCAACTGTGCCACGCCTTTGCCTTCCAACAGCGGCGAAGCCCTCAACGGCGAGCAAGCTTCTTGCATCAAGGGCAAAGGCTACAAGGGCAAAGGCAAGGGCAAAGGCAAGTTTGGATGGAAAGGGCATTGGTACGGCCATGAGTACCAGCAGGAGCAGGGCTGAGCCCCACTTTTGAATGAAGTCATGATAAGTATAGTAGTCTGAGTAGTTCCGAATGGCATCATATTATAGTCCGTATAATAGTGATACGATACTGTACCCCGAAACCCAGGCCCCTAAAGTAAGGTTCTGTCGGAGTCTCAGCTGGGCAACAGAGCCAACACTTCCAGAAACCCCAGCACTACTTTGCAGATCTAGCCTTTGCTGTATCAGCACAGGAGCACCCTTGGCAAAGCTGGTGGAAAGCGCATGCTGGATGGTGCGAGCCCGAAGACGCCGACATGAACCATGACGGCGAGGCATGTGAGAATCCACCCGAGGACGCGGACCAAGCAGGCAGCGCTCGCCTCTGCGGCAAGGGTAAAGGCTGCAAGGGCAAGGGCAAATTCAAGGGCAAGGCCGGCAAATGCGGCAAGGGCAAGTTCGCGTGGCAAGGCTACTGCCCGGACGAGGAGCAGGAGCACCAGTGGCGGCAGAACGGGTTCTGTGAAGCCTCTCGCTAGAGTGCCCACGCGAAGTGCGGATTGAGCTTTGCTTCTGTTCTGGCAGGAGCAACCTTGGTGTCAGTGGTACGGTTCCCGCCAGTGGCACGGGCCGGAAGCCACGGAATGGGCAGCCCCATCTCCGCAGGCACCTGCGTAGCAGCACACTTCATGGCTGAAGACCGACGGCCCCAAAATCCGAGCTCTAAGTCAAAACCCCCTTTCAGTGTCCCATGAAGTACATTCCTCGTTATCTCGAGCACCGGAAAGGGTCCGCAATGCTTTCGTGTTTCCTTAACCAGGTGCTCGCCGACCAGTTTCTTCGGGCACTGCCGCACTTGACAGCCAAGGTCTATGAGGAAGAGGCTGCGGGGGTCCTGGGAGTTCAGCCGTTCAGGGTTTAAAAAGTTTCAGGCTTCCCCAGCAAATAAGCAAAGCAAATTCCTGGCTGTCCGGAAGCTTCGAACCAGCCCACTGTAACAAGAAGACTGAATAAGAAGAGCAAGTGCGGGGTTGATGGTTTGAGCATGCAGGCAGGCCCTGTCCTGGTAGGACTTCGCGGCTTTTGCTTCAGGATGAGATGCATTGAAGAGGCCCTTTGCGGATTACTGCTTCTCAGCCACGTTCCTGTAGATGAATATGCAGCCAGATGGCAGGCCTACTGCCAAAGAACCAATGTGAATGAAGCCCTCAGCCCGAAGAAGTTCCGCGCGCAGGGCCTTGAGGCCTGCAGTCAGCGCCTGTGCGCAGCCTTGTGCCCCGGCATGTAAAGCTGACTCGGGTACTTCGGATGGTGCAGGTAGGAAGGCCGTCGAAGCCAAAACCGTCGACTGTCCCATCCCTAGGCCCTGTGTCGGCTCAAACATCTTTAAGGGGGGGCCATGGACTGCGGAACTCCTGGTTGCATCGCCCCCTTTTCTTTGGCACCTGGGGCTCCAGCCTTGATTCGGTCACCGGTCTTGGTCTTCTCAAAGGTTCATTCTTGGACCACAACATGTCTTGGCAGGCCATCCCGCAGCCTCCAACTCTCATGACAATCTTAGGCACCACATGCCAAAGCCCGACATCCTGGCTTACCCTGGTAGTTATAGGGCCAGGGGCCGCACCAGAAGCCATTGCTCCGCAACTTCTGTGTCCCTGAACCTTGAACCCCTAGACCGCCTAAACCCCTGCATGATAAAACGATCTGTGCGGTTAAGGAATTTTTGGCCCGCAGCAGGAGACGCACTGCAGGAGCTTTGCAAACTTCCTAGGTGGGAAAAGAACCTTTTTGCAGGGGTGGTTTATAGATGGAGAGAAGTCATGAATGCAGAAGGACAGATGAATGCATGATAAGTAGATAGACAAAGAGATAGACACTCTTGAATGGGCAAGCACAGCTGGGCTGAATCTATACACGTGAGTCCATGGAGTACTATGGTGTAGCGGGCGTACCACACGCACACAGATAAACACATGTGTGTACATATGCGTACACACATGGGAGTTTCCGAAAATAGGGGACCCTAATATAGTACCCTAAATAATAGGATCCTTATTATAAGGACCCCAAAATAAGGTACCCCCCTATTTTCGGAAAGTCCCACATAGTTAAAGTTGTATGCGGAGAAAAGTTTGTTTGTAGTTCATGACTTGTCCTTGCACGGCATGCCAAGCCCGGCTACGAAAGCCCTGTACCTGTGCGGGACGAGATCCGAAGTTCTAAAGTTTCCCAAATCCCAAACCCTTCGCCTTCGGTGCCTCGACCCTGAACCCTCAACCCTGCAAGTACTGGAAGGAGCTTTGGTCCATCCTCGGCCAGCACAACCTCCAGAGCCTTGGCAGCAGAGGCAGCCGCACTCGCTGGTCGCAATGTGAGGCGATATTGGAATCTTACATCCAGTGTAGTTTACTGCGGTTTAGCTTCATGTAGTCTTGTGTGCCATAGAACGTAGCATGACATCTGTTGAGAGATGTCGCGCAGAGCATGCCGGAAAGAGTCCAAGCCCACAGCCCTGCATCGCTGAACCGGACGCCCTCAACCGGTCGAATCACTTAGGGTTCCAGGGTTTAGGGTTTAGGGTTTAGGGGTGCGTCCTTTAGGCTTGATGGATGTTCTCTTAAACCCATACTGAACGCCCGATAAAAGCCCTGTAAAACGATAAAACCCCACCCCTGTAATACCCTGAGTCTCTTCTTTGGCTTACACCCTAAACCGTATGCCCCAGGCTCCCGAAACCGTAAGCCCTGACTCCCAAGCTCTCTACCCAAAACCCCTAAACTCATACCCCTAAACCCCTAAACTCCTAATCCTAAACCCTAAACTGCTACTCCTAAACCCCTAAACTCCTAATCCTAAACTCCTGAACCCTAAACCCCTAAACCCTGAAACTCCTAAACCCCCAAACCCCTAAACTCCTAAACCCCTAAACCCCTAAACCCCTAAACCCCCAAACCCCAAACCCCTAAACCCTAAACCCAGAATAGACCCTTTGAAAGACCTCAGGGCTGAGCAGCAGCTGGCACGTTTCCTCGCCGAGGCTCCCTGCAGGTTTTCCCTTGGGGTCTACTGTTTTATAGGGGCCTAAATAATTACCTACACTATTTAGGGGGTTCCTTATTATAATGATGGTATAATGTACCCCCCAAACCCTACTCTAATTATGAAGGCCCCTATGTTAGGGTTTACGGCGTCGTGTTCGGAGTTTAGGGTTTGGAGTTTAGGACATATGGTTTGCGGGCTAGGCGATTCAGGTTCTTAAGTTGTCGAATGCATGCGTGTTTGCTGGTCTAGGGAACTTTGCCACTGATGCAGTTCTGCTGTCCAGCTATTACAACCAGTTGCCCCTGAAAGTGTCGATGACTCAGCCGCTGCATTGAATCTGTGAGAGTTCAGGGTTGACTGGGAGGGTTTGTATTGTAGGGGGAACTTAGCATTACATAGACCCTAGACCCCGAGCCGTCCCTCATGGAGAGGTGACGCCGGAGACTGCCAGCCAGTTCCTGCTGGCGTTTTTAAGCGAGCTGGAGGTCCGGGGTTCGGTGTGAAAGAGTCCTTGGGTCGTGCCGTAGGATGTGGCATGCGAGACCTTGGAATATAGTCCTTCGTCTGGTTGTATGAGTGTATCTCTTCGCGTTCTAGGGGCTCGTTTCCTTTAGTCTGATTCTTGCGAGCTTGGAGGGAATTTGAGCATCGTTCTTGACTCGATGCGGTGGAGGCTCTAGACGAAGAGGAGAAGCTGAACGTGATGGTCAGCTTCTTCGAATCTCAAGAGGAGCGACTGCAGAAGACCTTTCCACAGCTGCCGGGCCTTTTCTTGCTGGGCATGCTCGGGCGTGGCAAGGGCGGGAAGTGGGGAAAGGGGGCAAAAGGGAAGGCCAAGGGCAAATGCTGGGTCGGTTCTCACATGGCAAGGGATGCAG